ACTTTTTATATCACAGAAGTTATCCAATTATTTTCGTCGATCATCAGGTGAAGCGATACTTTTTTCAAGGGACTGTATATACCGGGTATAAATATGGTATATACCCCTCAAATTATTTATAACATGTTATATACCATCCCTATCAACAATCACTTCATCAACAATCATTTTGTCAACAGTCATTTTGTCAAAAGTTCATTTTGTCAAAAGTTTGTTTTGTCAAAAATTATTTCATTAACAGTTCATTTCATTGACAGTTCATTTCTACAACAATTCATGTTAATTTGCATGTATTACAGTGTCACCACCAATTATGTGAATTAATTGATGATAACAATTGTTTATTATGTTTATGTGGATCAGAAATGAATAGGTTTACTAACATATTAGTTTAATTAGTGGATAATTTTGGTTTAAAAAGATAAGAAATGTTTATTTATTTTATTTAATTGAAACTAATTAAAGATTTAGAAGAGAAGAAGAGAACAGTCAGGTGAACTATGTTTTAAACACAAAATTTTAATCCATGTAATCATTGATTGACCAATCAAAATCGTGAATTTGATAATGTAAAAAAATAAAAAATAAATGAATTATTTATATATATGAGAGTTAATAAAAATATTTGACAAATGGTTCAAATTTAAAAAAGTTGGAAGAAAGTATGTGACAAACCTTCAAAATAGTCTAATAAATTAAATTGTACTACTCAAAGATGCATTTAAAGGGTTGGTTTCGACTTGGTTGAAAAACAGCTCTCTTTCTAACTCTTCTCTTGACCATATAACTTCAAAACTACATCAATATAACATAACAATAAATGAAATGATTGTCAATGAAGTAAACATGACCAATTTAGGAGACAAATTTATTTAATAAAACAACTCAAAAAATGATTTTTTTGAATGTTCTAGTAAATTTTCCATTGCTGCCACATCATCCCATTGTTGGTTCAACATTACCTGAAGTTTAATTTAGTCATTTTCTGTAACAATCCTCGAAATAATATGTCACACAAATGGCATTTAATTTTATTACCATATTTGGTAAGAGGAATTCATTTTTTTTATCGTTTAAGTTACTTGGCAATCGGGATTTTTGGTTAAAGAATTATACATATTATTATTATTATTATCATTATTATTTTTATTAAGAAAAGTGGATATTATATTGTTATGTTATATTGTGGGGAATATAATCATATTATTATTTTTATTTATATTATTTATAATTAAGAAGTTATCTTTAATTATGATCAATACTTTCCGGGAAGTCTATAAGCTTCCATACAATATAGATTATATATTTATTTCTTTCTTTATGGTTTATATTTGTATTTTAAGAATTGTATTTTTATTATTTAAAGATGTAAAATTCAAATAAATAAAGATAACTTTTATATAATTTTACAACAATAAAATTATCAGTTCATTTACAGTGTTAAATAAATATCTAAACGTTTGTAAATAATTGTGATAATTATTTAAATATCGTACTATGAAATAATTAATAATTAATAAATATAACATGAATACAAATACAAATAATTAATACGAATAATTAATAAAATCTGATAACAATAGTAATGATCGGAATATTTTGAATTGACATTTTAATACTTAATAGTAGATAACTAAATCAGTAAAAATAAAGAATTGGTTGAACCTAAATTTGGAATTTTGATTATTCATAATAATAATGTCTTATTTTTTAAAAAAAAAAATTACAATTAATGTATTTAATAGAATAGCAATACTAAAACGAAATGCTATGAGCCATTCCCGAAGAAAGTCCATAAGTGGTCTATTATCACGGTCATTGAACACTGTTCGAATTCGTGCTTCACGTTCACAGTCCTGTTTTTTTGTAAAGGTTGTGGTATTCCTTGTAAAATCGATTCTACATCAATCTCAACTCAATTTTGTTCTTTATGCAATTACTTTATGATTTTATAAACACCTGAATGTGCAGTGCCTACTAAGGCACCCCATCTTCGATGCCAAGCCTCTACAAAATTTTTAGTTTATGGAAATGCATAATTGATATTATCAATGACTGACCAGAAGTCAGGTGGAATAATGGTGGTGCTCGAATTGCATTCCCATCTCTTAATGTGCGTCTTGTTCTACCATGCACATAGTACTCTTCGAACCATTCTACAATTTCGTTAGCCTCTGGAGGAATATCATCCTTTAATTGATCAAATGCTGCAGGAATGTCATCGGGAGGCAAGAAAGCAAGTGCAGGAATGTGTCTAATTTTCCAACTGAAATTTTTGTCAGTTCCATATTGAACGCTAAGTCCAGAAGCTTGTACTTTCTGGTAAATGCTCTGAGCCAAATGAAATAAACATCCCTTGTTTTGGACACCTTGAAATTCTCTAAGAGCAAGCATTGATGGCTGCTTGTTCGAAATCAATTAAAATAAATTGTGGCCGGATAAGAACACCATTTTCATCACCAAAATAAACCAATCCTGAAACAAATTCCTATAACATTCTTCCGATTTTCTGGACATTAATGCATAGACAAGTGGCATTATTTGTGAATTTTCATCTCTACCAACACGTCCATGAATTGAATATAACTGTCTAAATATATTTGGAACTGTTTTAAATGTTCCATCCATAATCCAGAAAGGGGATTGTTCCAGATATTGGACATTAGCAATGGTTGTAAAGAGCAATATTCTATCTTGATCCAGGTCAATATCTTTAACCAAAAAGTCTGATCCACTTAGAGTCTTTGTCAAATCTTCAGGAACAATAAGTTCATTTAAAGATTCTGGTTCTTAAGGTTGCTTGCCAAAACTCCTCCAGAAATCAATCAGCAGGGTTTCGGCAGATTATACATTGATGTTTATCCTAAATTTTGCCACCTCTTCCATAGATCGTTAACTATTAAGGAATGGTCTTCATCCAAAATTTTTTAATTTTTTTTCTTGATGATAATTTAGGAAAGGATCATTTCCTACTTAAGAAATTTTATTTACTGAATTAGAAATGATATTCTAAAATTTGAAATGGTCGGGTTATTTTTTAAAATCTTTTGATCAAAAAAATTTGCAAAAATGTTCATTTTAAGATGTCGATTCGTTGATTACGTACCCGCAACCATCAATTCCCTGGCCTTTACCTCGCCCTCTTTACCAAAGTTGCTTCTTGCTTGTGGCTGAGCTAATGGCGATATTGAAATATGGGAGCCAAAAGAACGCTTGAATTTACAAAAAGTATTCTATTAATTTTGACAATTTTTCCTCAAGATTACATTTAGGGCTTATTTATTTAATTTTGCATGTCTAGAATATTTAGACGATTCCAGGTGTGGTTAATACTACTGTAGAAACTCTTGTTTAGATAAACCGTAAATCATCGTCACTATCGATCAAAACATCCTCTTCTAATCAATCACCTAGACTTTTTTCTGGAAGTTTAAATGGATTAATAATAGAATGGATTTAATAAAGTTGAAATGAAGGTTTATTGTTATTATTGTTGTTGTTACTGCTACTGTTATTACACACACATGGACTATATTCTTTCCTTCCACAAGTTCATTCATTTTCTTATCTATTTCCAAATTAGAAATCAGCAGATTCATTAGGAGTTGCTGTATGGTATATGAAACCAAATTATGCAAATACAATGTTGGCGATAGGATGTAAAGAGAAGATTTAAGATTGATTAAGGTCTTTACCAGAATAAATGCTAAAGTTATTTCACTAGATTGGGGTTATGATGATAAATATCTTGTAAGCGGATCATCAGATGGCATAATATCTAAATGGGATGTTGGTAAAGGTAATAATGACACCTTCTAAAAAGTATGGCTGAATCATATTACAAATTTTTAATTATTATTATTTTTCTTTAGGTAGATGTGATCAAAGGATGACTGCAGAAACTTCAAAAGGATCAGAGACAATTAGTTGGGCAGTCAAAATACTCAAGTACGTTAATTTCATTTTTTACGTTTAATCATTTAATCATTTGATTCTTATGAATATGTAAATGAATGACAAATAAAAATAAATTAGAGGTGGGATAATCGTTAGTGGTGATTCGCTTGGAAATGTGCAATTTTGGGATGGAAAGATGGGTACAATGTTACAAACATTTAAAATTCACGAAGCAGATGTACTCTGTCTTGAAACAAATTGTGTAATTATTATTGGAATTACATTACATTATTTTACCTTTTAAGGAAAAGCTTGATTTCTGATTTTTTAATGATTATAGTCAGGGACAGAGGTTTTTTCAAGCGGCGTAGATCGTAAATGTTGTTTATTTCGTTATGTCGATCTATCATTGGAGTCAACTTCTGATGATGCAGATCTTGATTCGATTATGAGTTTTGATGATTTAACAGATATTAATCACATTAAGAATCTAACTGAACAATGGATTTCTGTTGGATATCATCATCAACATTCTCATAATGGAGCATTTGCTTATTTTTAAGCTCAAGATTTTCAAGTCTTGGTAACTATCAATTATTTTCTTTTTCAAATTTTTTTTTTTAGAAAATAATTAAATAAATTGTCGCTGTTATTATTGTAGGTGTTGTTACAACATTATCAGTATCCCCAAGAGCTGATTTTCCTCAATAAATTTCGCCATTTACCATTCACTCCCCAAAAACCTTTAATATGTTTAAAGTTATGGAAATTGGGAAAAGGTTAGTATTATTATCATAACTAATAGTTATTTGGAAATATGTTATTGTATAACATACTAATGATATTGATAATGATGATAATGATTATAATGATAGCAATTAGTCGGGAAAATTCTTATGAAAAGATACCAAAGTTATATATACAAGGACCTCAACAAGCCGTTTTAGAAATGACTTAATCTATTACCAATCTAATATATATGAATGATTGCCGGATATTTCAAGACGTAATAACAGAATAGAAACCTTAACACAATTTAAGCAAATCCAAAACAAACAAGAAAAAGACCTATAACTTCAATTGCTGTTAGTAATGATAGTTTATGGTTGGCATGTGGAAATGAGTTGAATAGAATACGAATTTTTAATTTGGAAAAACTAAAAGTAAATTTTCTTTACATCCAATTTTCATTATTACTCGAGCCAACTAAATTATTCAAACTAAAATATTATATAATTGCATTATTTTTAGTATCATTCAACACTTCCAATATTTTCATCAAAACATGCGTCTTTAACTTTTGATCCGTTTGAATCAATCCTGATGATCACATTAACAAACAACATATTTTATCTTTGAAATATAATTGACTATGAATTAACAAATTGGTCACGACAATACTCAAATTGTTTACCTGACAAGTTTCTTTGCCTTCAAGATAAGACAATCGGTTGCACTTTCAATCCCACTAATAATAAAATCATGATTTTATGGACAAGCAGATATTTTTGTTTTATTGATTTCAGTAAAAAGGTCAAATCTAAGTTGAATTTGTTTTATGGTCACGGTACAAATAAACCACATCGAATTAATCAAAATGATAATGACAATGGGTGATGATGACGATAATTATACTATTACTAAAAATAATACAAAAATAGCCAACATACAATTAGTGACTAGATACAAACAATCGTGTATCTTGATTTTATTTTACCTGATTCTTTAGTAATTGTGGAAAAAACACTGGTTGATATTCTAGAACAATTACCGCCTGCTTTCTATGTTTCAAAATATGGCACATGATTATTTGGAATTTCATCATGCATTTAATTTAATAAATACGTTTATGTTTTTAAAAAATTTTAATCCACATCGTGAAACATTTTAAATGATTGATGACTTTTATATTTTTTTGTATAACAATATGTTAATTTCTTCGAAAGTTGGAGCAACGTAAACGACAGTTTTATTATTATTTAATATTTATAGGTTGTTTGTATTTATTTATATATATATATATACTCTGATTTTCATTAATAAATATTGTTATTTATTTATTCTTGAAACTCTTTTTGGTTTTCACGATCTTTACATAATTTGTTATATCTGATATCTCTACATAATTTATTTTTTGATCGCAACTTTCTTTCTAACAAATTTTTTTGACGCGTAAAAGTCTTTACAATCATATTCATTATTATTATTTTGTTATATAATAATTTAATTTTTAAACAGTACTTTCATACGAGTTGATTTAATTTAATTTAATAAAAAATTTTTATTAGAAAAAATTTTCGTTTGTAATATAATATCTATTATTTTTATTTTATTGTAACATAATACATATTGTTTGTTTATTTGTATTTTTAATATAAAAATTCAGATGGGTATATGTTGTTGCAAAGAAGATGCAATTGATTTTGATGGTGAAGGTAAATTTTTAAATTATAATGAACAAATTAACAGTTTAATATTTAATATTTCATTTATTAATCGTCAACATAATATCTATCTATTTATCTACAAGTTGAATTATCTCATTTTCACTTATTGAAATCTGTAGGAAAAGGTGCTTTTGGCAAGGTACGAAAATTACAAGTTTTCTTGCCAATATTTTCAAATTTTTGTTAAAATCATAAAATAAAAAAAAAAAAAAAAAATGGGGATTTTTTTATTTTTTGAAGGTTCGAGTTGTACAACACAAAAGATCAAAAACTGTATATGCATTAAAGTATATTAATAAAGAAAAATGTATAAAAATGCGTGCGATAGGGAACATAATACAAGAACGTCGTCTATTGGAAGAGATCGAATATCCCTTAATATGTAATTTACGTTACGCATTTCAAGATGATGAAAATATGTTTATGGTTCTAGATTTGATGTTAGGTGGTGATTTAAGATTTCATTTAGAGAGACAAGGAAGAATGAAAGAAGATGTAGTGAAATTTTATGCGGCTGAAATTAGCTTAGGACTAGATTATTTGCATTCAAAAAATATTGTTCACAGGTAAATATATCTATACACGTACGCAACATGGATTGCTTTAAATTAACTATGGTTAACATATATGTTATTATATTATTTTTAGGGATATAAAACCAGATAATGTTTTATTAGATGAACAAGGACATGCACATTTAACTGATTTTAATATAGCAGCTCATTATAAGGAACAAAAACCTTTTACTTCCGTAGCTGGTTCTATGGCATATATGGGTGACAAATTTTTCATATATATTTCTAAAATAATTATTTAATTGTAGTATTATTAACACACACACATATATATTTGTTTATAGCTCCTGAAATGTTAAAAAAAAAAGGATATCTTTATTCAGTTGATTGGTGGTCACTTGGAATTGTAATTTTTGAACTTTTATTCGGCAGGGTAATTTTCAATCTTTTTTTCTTTTAAATATAATTTTTCTTAATATAAATTTTATTTAAAAACCATAATTAAATTAAATTACTAATTAAAACATAAATCGATATTTTTAGCGACCATTTCGTGGAAAAAATAATTCACTGCTAACTAAAGCAATTCTTCATGAACCTCTTCATTTTCCTGATAATCCTAATATGACGGTATCTGAAGAATGTTTAGATGCTATAAAAAGAGTTTGTATTATATATTATAACGATAATTAATATTATTATAAATTTATTATATGTCAAATTAAATTTTAATAATTATACAATTTACATAAATTAATGATATTATTATTTTACATAATTAATAATTTATTTTATTTAATAGTTTTGTGAACGTGATATATCAAAACGTTTAGGGTGTAATGGAATAGAAGAAATCAAGCAGCAACCTTGGTTCAAAGATATAGAATGGGATAAGCTTGACACAAAACGAGCAACACCGCCATTTGTACCAGATGTAAGTATTATCATTATTTCATTCGTTAATTCATTGATCAATCAAACATGAAATATTAATATCATTTTTATTTTGCCATATAAGCCTAAGCGAGCAAATTTTGATGCGACATATGAACTCGAGGAATTATTACTGGAAGATAATCCATTAAAAGTCAAAAAACGAGCTAATCAGGATCTTAGTGGACTTTCCAAGGAAATGAGAACAATGGAAGAAAAATTCCTTGTATACGACTATACAAAGATGGACAGGAAAAGTTGCGACGATATAAAAAGCTTTATTGATAATAATAATAATCAAATTAATAATGAAGCCGATAATGAAAATCTTGACCAAATAACCAACAATAATAGTGATAGTATCCACAATGATAGTTCAACAAACGCGAGTTATATTTCTGATAAAGATATAATAATAAACAATCCAACAAAAGATATTCATAAAAGCCAAGAACCTGATGTTATAGCTGTAGTATACATTGATGATTCTAAAGACAAAAATATAAATGATTTGTTGACAGATCGACCCATATCACAAATAATGATCACAAAAGAGCTCCCGAATTCAGTTTAAACTTATTTTCTGGCAATGAGATAGTCAGTAAATCAATAATATTTACAATAAACAGTATACTAAATATCGAATTTCATCTTTTAATTCTCTAAATCAAGAGCTCTCAAAAATCAATCAACTAAACGAATTGCCAACACCAACGTATTAATAACGACATTCACCCTTATGTTGTTTAATTTTAATTAATAATAATAATAGTAAATAATAATAATAAATAATAATAATAATCATTAGATGAAAAAGAAACATTATTGTGTCATTTGGATAATAATCATTATCGTCATAATCATACTATCATTTTCATGGAACATTTTTAAAAGAATAATATCATCATCAACATCATCAACATCATATCATTCATCAATATCAATGTAACATAATATCTTTACTAATTAATTTAAAAATAATTTTGTTATATATATAAATAAAAAAATATATATATATGATTTTTGATAAAATCTCAAAACTCCCGAAATTATAAACATAGGCAAGATAATATTTTTAAAACTTTAAACAGTAACGGTACACTAATGACAATTTTATTTTTTCTTATTTTCAAACTAATAATAATAATAATAAAGCAATGTTTATCCAAAACTATATTCATCCATTTATTTATTCATTCATTTCATTTCCATCGTTTTTCTTTATAGCATTTTCATCGATTTCCTTTACATCAAAAGATTGTCTTGCTCTCTTAATATCTTGTTCCATATATAATAATTCCTCAACCCTAGATAATTTTTTGGGATCATTCCTTAAAATAAATTTGAAATCTTCAACATTTACTTTACGATCTTTAGCCACTTTTTGTGCTTTACAGCACTAAAAAAAACTTTTATTTAATATCTAATAAAAAATAAATCAAAAAAAATTCTGCTACAACTATTACCATTACTAATACTACTAGCTGTTATTCGTAATTCTTCAAATTAATAATAATATTAGTAATTTACCATTTCAGTAATATAATCAACAACAAGTTCTTCCATTACTGCTATTGTATCAGGAGCTGGATCAGGTTCATCTCCAAAACCATACATGAGTAAGCGTACTTTTTTTTAGGAAAAAAAAAACATTTCAATATAGTTTGAATAAAAAAGAGTAATTATTATTTTCTAACTTACAATCTTTTTGAAAAATTCCTTTGGTGCTTTTAGGTGGCCGTCCTCTTCTGTCCGCCATATTATATTTAAAAATTTATGGAAGAAATTCAATTTGAGGTTATTCCCTATTGATCTGCGTGACATGTCCTGTGACTGCTAAATCGAGTTTCACTGTGTCACTTTTTTTTATAAAAGAAGCTCAATTTTTTTATTTCAAAACAAACAGAAATATGCGCAATGTGGGGTGTCTACTTTGACGAAACGCCACCTGAACAATACCTTTCCTGGGCTTTTATAAGCATCGTCAAAAACAAGACGATTTCACGTTTTCTTTTCAGAAGGAAGCTAACAGGCTTTGGAAAAGTCTGGATTTTCTGGTGATGAGTGGCTTGAAAGAAGTTACGGTGCAGATCATCTATAATCATTAATTGCTTATAGTAACAATTGGTCAACTTCAAAATACTAAAACAAAAAA